CTCATAGGCCAGTGAAGTGCTTGGTAACTGCAGATTAACAGTTTTGTCTTTGCTTCCATATGACCACAGCATGCTCCATCTTCCTGCAATCTGCCTGCTTAACTTGGTCACAGAATGAAATTTCCCAGAGTGGCTTTTAGAACTATTTTTGAACAGACTCATACTGTTTTTTTTATTAGTCAACTTTCTGTAGTGAGGACAAAGTATCTGTGATAAGTAACACGGAGGAAATATTCATCTTAGCTCATAGTTCCAGAGGTCTCAGTCCATAATTGGCTGGCTCCATTGCTGTGGGCCTTTGATGAAACAGAGCATCATAGCCAGAAGGCATATGGATTAAAGCTGCTCACCTTATGGCTGCTGAGAATCAGAGCGAGATTTAGAGTGAGATTTAGAAAGAGAGAAAAAGAGAACAAGATATACCCTTCAGAGGCCTACTTCCTCCAATCAGGCCCTACCTCTTAATAGTCCATTCAGCTATGAAATCATCAGTGCTAATCCATTGATGGGTTAGTACACTCATGATCCAATTTACCTCTCACTAGTGCCACCAGTTGGGGACCGAGCCTTTAACACATGAGCCTTAAGAAGAATGAGTAATAAGGGCATGGGCCAGATGCATTAAGCAAGTATTTATTGAGAACACTATATATGCTGGGGTACTTTTCTAGTCTTGAAAAATATAATGCCAAACAAAACTCATAGAAATCTCTTCTCTCACAGACTTTGTTGTATGTGTGTATTAGGAATGGGGTGGGTAAGACATAATGACCCAAATAATTGGAAACTTTTTCAATGCTATTTAAAAAAATATTTTATTTATTATTTTTATTGTGTATGTATGATTGTATGTAAGTACACTGTGTGTAAGTGTACTGTGCATGCAGTGGCCGCAGAGGTCAGAAGAAGGGGTCAGATTTCCTGGAACTGGGGTTATGGACGATTGGTAGCCACCATGTGAGTGCTGGAAATTGTTCCTGGGTCCTCTGCAACAGTAGTCAGTACCTTTAACCACTGAACCATCTCTCCAGCCCCTTGTATGATATTTTAGAGGATAGAAGTACTATTGAGTGAAAGTAGGAAAAGGGGAGGGAAGTTCTGAGATGGGAAATAACAAAGTCTCAATAAAGTTGTAAGAGAAAAAGATAACATTTGAGTGAAACCTGGGAGAAAATGTAGCACTCAGCAGACCATCTGGAGAAGAGCATTCCAGGCACAGAGCCAGGCACAACTCTGAGCTAAAGTCACCTTGATGCCCACTGTTAACATGAGCCAGTCTCATGATATGTGATATAAATGGCACCCACTGGAATTGTGTGATGGCAGTGGGAAGTGTGAGCAGCTTCTCGTGAGGCGGGAGCATTCTGGGAACAGCAAGGAGGCCCGGGAGAATAGAGGGAAGTCTGGAAATGGAAGACTGGATATTTCAGGTTGTTTCCAGTGGCTACAGCCAAGGAATTTTCAGACAGTCCCTCTGTTGTCTCTACTCATAAAACACACTCTAGAATGGCTGTGCTGTGTCTGGCCTACTTGGATTTGATAGTAAATTACAAGCTCCATGAGACATAGAAACAAGTGACACGTCTTTATGTGGTGAGTTTTTAACTCCCTAGCTCCCTGATGACCACAGGAATAAAAATTTGTATCAGAACCAACACCCATCATAATGTGAATTGGCTAGATGGTTAGAAAATGTTGAATTTTGGCCCTGAGGATGAGGATGGATATGGAACAATGAAATCCCTAAGAAACTATGGATGTGGATGCTAAGAAGCTAATATGTTATACAACATAGACATCTTAGACTGAATTTGGTATAAAGTCATTTACTATGTATCTAGACACATCATAATTAGAATAATGGATTAGATAATGGAACAAGATAATAACAAGATAGTGTTATTTTAAAGACTGTACAGAAATATCAAGTTACAAGTATTGATTTTGCTCCCTCTGACTGACAGCTGGGTCACTACTAGATGAGCTATCCTTTGGTAACCCTTCATATTGTCTAAGCTGTCCTCATGTGAACTGTGCTAAAAATGCAGACAATACCTTTGTTCAGTCAGCTGACTGGCTATGGATCCTTGGCCATGCATTTCTCTGACAGAGCAAATATGTGTCATTGGTTCAGGGCCTTCTGTGCGTGGATGCCATTACTCAAACTTTGTTCCTATAATTACACCATCAGTACAGAGAGAGGACACAGCGAATCTGTTTGCACCATGAACTGACCCTATCTTTGCCCCCTTGTTTTTCTGTCTTTTAAAGAAACAGAACAATGATTCCAGCATCTTGGTTTGGTTTGTGTGCCTCCTAGTTCCTGCCCTCAGGCATGGCCAAGGATCATTCCTGTTTGCCTCCATTTTCTGACCATACCTTTTCTTCATAAATGCAAAGCCCAAGGTGCTCTAGAGTTTCTTTAACAGTCCTCATGCTTGGCTTTTGTTTTCTGAATCCTGTGATCAGAATGAGTGAACACGATCCTTTACAGACTTTGAAAGAAAGAAGAAATCTTAAAATGTGAAAAGAAGAAATCCAACCTACACTATGGGTTGCACACATCCTTTACATTTTCATTTATTGAGAGTGGCATCTCAAAGCTTGCCTGAAACTATCCACCTGTAAACTTAAAATAGAGGTTTTGGAGATAACATATAACTAGCCAAGTGGGAAAATTGAAGGCCGTTTTGGGATGGGTAGTAGAGTATTCTGCTATCTTCATCTACTATTATTTTCTGCACATAATTGCTAGAAACATGTTTATACTGGTCCCTTTGACTAAGCAGGATGAAATATAAGGAGATGTGGGTCTGATTCATCAGAATATGTGAGTCAACCATAGGGCCACTGGATATGTTATTATAGCCTGGAAATTGCTGAGTTTGTGTACAATTTAGACATATGAAACCAAGCTCAGATACATATTTTAGAAATTATACACATCCTAATCAGTTTTACAGCATTCTGTGGAAAATAATCATGATTTAAAAAAACAAGAGTATTAGTTATCCTTCCATAATTGAGTAGGTCATAAAGGTCAATGATGGGTTATAGTATCAAGAAATACCATTTTGATTAAAGATATTTATTTTTCTGATTTTGTCTTTTCTTCAATGAGTTGATTACATTTGACCCAATTCAAGCATATGATTATATAAGGTCAGCAATCAGGGTCTGCTAATTTTCCAACACACCCCATTACCTCCAAGCTCCTACCTCTGCCAGAATACACCAACTGCTTTAAACACTTTGACTTTGTAGGATTGGATTTAGTTACGCAATTAAAACAGGCACTTATTAGGACACAGGTGGTCCTGGGGTGCAGATCATTTTTTTTTTTTTTATAAGACATCTGAACTAGACACATGGAAGAGGAAGACAGGGATGCGTGTGTGGTCAAGCCTTAGTTAGCAAATTCTTCCAAAGCAGATTCCATCTGGCTTCACTCATCCAGGGTGAACTGTAGAGCATAGTCCAGGGGCTGGAGAATAAGTGCCTTTAGCAGCTCACTTCCCTTTGGTCTAGCTCTAGCCCTACCTTCCTGTTCTCGCTTCCTCGCTTCTGTTAACTCACCACACCCGATAAGCCCAGAGTCAGGTAAGAACTCTGATATAGGTGCCTTGTGCTAACTTTGGTGGGAGAGGCCAAATGTGAGCATTCATTATAAAAGTGCCCCAACCTGCACCCTTCAATCTTACTAAATGCTTGATGCAATTAAAAAATAGCTAGTTTTTTTAGTTAAGTTAGTCTAAAGAGACAGGGACTCAGAGTGCACATTTCAGTAGAATTAATTCTTACTCAACTTGGTTTTATCTTAAAATTAAACTTTGAACATTGCAACTACTAAGTGGTTGTCATTTATAGTATAGAACTTCCTTTGTTTTTGAATTCTATATTCTTTCTAGCTGACTAGATAAGTCGAGAGATGTTTAGAGAATTTTACTGACTGTATAATTCCTTGTTTTATGTAGATACCTCTTTCTTCCCTGTAAGTAGCTAGTATCGTGAAGGTAGGTGCTGATTCTTTTAGGTACTGGGGATAAAATGCAGGTCTAAATGCATCTTAGGCAAGCAATCTATTACTGAACTGCATCCCCAGGCCTCTTTCTACTATTTTATTTATTTATTTTTTAAATTTTTATTATTTTTATTTTATGTGCATGTGTGTTTTGCCTGCATGTATACAAGTGCACCCGTGTCATGCAGTACCTGCCGGAGGTCAGAAGAGGGTGTTGGATCTCCTGGAACTGGAGTTATGGTCTGTTGTTAGCTACCATGAGTGTGCTGGGAATCAAACCTGGGTCCTCTGCAAGAGCAGCCAGTGCTCTTAACTGCTGAACCATCTCTCTAGTCCCCTCCTCTTTTTGAGGCATGGTCTCACTAAGATGCCCAGACTGACATTGAAAGGAGGTGATTCTTTCCTGTTCTGCCCTATATCATCAATGACCTATACATAGAAAATACATATACATTGCATATTTTCAAAGGATGTGGGAGGCTGTTTGGATGGATAGAAAAACAAAATTGGGAAGGAGAAAAGATGGGGACTGGTTGAATGAAGGTTCCACCTGCCAAGTAGTTTTCCCAGTTTAGGAGCAGAGCTTTGGATTAACTGGGATATTGGAGGAACAGAGCCCATTTCTCATTGTCCAATTTTCAGAAAGTCACAGCATCTCTGTCTGACGTTGGAATTTCTTCTACAGCATTCCTAAGGATTAGATCAAGTGGCCCTGGCTTGAATATTTAAGGGATGAGTGGGCCAGAGTGCAAGAAAACCCCATTTATTTATGAGTAAGTTCAGCTGTTATAAAGTTCCCCTTTTATGTTGAACTGAGACTCCCTGCTCAGTCATTGAAACCTCTGGGGTAATGAGGAATTCACTCTCCACATTATGAGGATATTTAAGCCTATGGACTCATTTCTCTTGCTGCTTTTTCTATTTCACCTTACAGATTAAATACCACAAAATTTTGTAATCTTTCTCTTAATGATTTCAGGATCCAATCCACTTCATGAGTATCCTGCTTAAAGTTCCTGCCATAAGCAAAACATGGAAACTCCATGGGCTCAGAATAGGCAACAACAATCATGAAAAAAGAAGAGATATTTCCAATTCTAAAACGCAGTACAAAGCTTCAATAACCAAGGCAGTGTGGTACCGGCATAAGAAAAACACACAGGGGCCGATGAGATGACTCAGCAGATCAAAGACCTTGCCACTATGCTTCGTGACATGAATTCAGTCCTCGGGACCCACACCTTGGAAGGAGAAAACAGACTCCAGTGACCAATAAAAACATTGAACGGGACAGAATTGAGGTCAGAACCAATAAAGCATTAAACACTTACTTGAAGATAGATTTGGCTCAGGGGTTCCAGCTAACCATACAATGACCCAGTTCTGTCCCTCTCTGGAAGGCACCGTTTAGAACCTGTTGACTACATCCAATGTTATGTCCTTTATGGGCCGTTCTCTGAGAATTTCAGTTACTATACATGCCCTTCTATTCAGTTTCTTATTTGTCTTTGTACTGCCCTTGAGACGTCCCACACTGCTGAAACCATAGTTCACACGTACGCATTATAATTACTCACAGATGTGCCTCAGCGCTTATGCTAGGTCATAACATAGCTAAGAGGAGGAATTGTCCGTTCCTTGATATTTTTGCCTTTCAGAATTTTGGGATGCTTAGTAGGTATTAGAAATGATAACTAAATAAAATAATCAATGCTATTAAAATACTATTAAATCTCAATATCGTCAGGGGCTATATATATACATATATCTATATATCTGAAAAGTGTATTCTATATACACAAATTCTGAGATAGATTGAAATGGTTCCTATCAAAAACTTGAACAGAGTAGGTTCCTTCCACCCAGTCTTCAATTATTCATGATAGAGTTTTGCAGGAGCATCACAACGATATGTCTCGAGTCCAGTGGATGAATCATTGCATCATTTTCAAACCAGCCCCCACTAGCTTGAAACCTAGTGTTTCCTGCAGTGCATGTTTTCTGTTTTGTTTCTGCTGATGTTTGGGTAAGTTCTGTGCCTTCTTATGTGTCATGATGGTTTTTACAGGTGCTAGGTGGGGTCTTTCCTAGGCTGTACAGAAGCAGAACACAACCAAACTTCTTCTGTTTGCTCCAAGTCACAGCACTTCTTTAATGAGAGGGTGGGCAATAACTACCGTGTAATTCTCCTGTGTTTACATTTTTCATTTGAGATATAAAAAAAACCCATATAATTCCCATTCATACTGTGATGGAAGAAGGAGTCCAGTATCTTACATATAAACCTCAACATTTGCCCAAGTATTTCCTGAGTGCCTAATGTGTGTTAATTACACTGCTTTTTGTGCTCAAGGTAAAACTGTGAACAAGTCAAATACACTTTTCACTTATGTTTTAAAGGAAAAGTGAGAGACAAAAACCAAACAGAACCAAAAACTGTCCATAAAGCTTTTTTCTAGTGGTTATCAAGAAAATGAAACAATATGGTGTCTGAATCCTAGGTCATCCCTTTTAAGGGTTAAGATGCCCAGAACCACAGCAAAGACTTTGGAATTAGCAACTCACACTTTAGTATCCAGCTCACACTAATGTGTGCTCAGAATTTGCCACTCTAGTTTGCATCTGGAATGTCCCTTGAAGGCCTGTGTGTTAAAGTCCCTAGGTTGGTGCTATTGGGAGGTAGTGAAATCTTTGAGGTGGCCTGTAGTGGGAGGTCTGTATCACTGAGGGGTGTGTATGTGCCCTTGTTGGAAATTGTGGGACTTCCCACTCCCCTTCTTTCCTGCTTGCATCTCAGCCTTGAGGTGACCAGCTTTGTTCCACTACAGCCTTCCCACCATAATATGTTTTTTTGCTACAAGCCCCAAAGCAACAAGGTCCACTGACCATGGAACAGAGGCCTCTAAAACAGTGTAACAAAATAAACCTTTCCTCTTATTAAGTTAATCACCTCAGAAACTTGTTACAGTACTGGAAAGCTGGCTAGCACAATATTGTTCCTTCTCCAACAGGCACCTGCTACCTCAGATGGCCTACAGACCCCAACCTTCCATGTTCCAGAATCCAAGCTTTTATTAGATCTGTGCCCCTCTCGGGGTGCTTAAGGCTTCACCTGGGCCCTGTACCAGGGTGTACAGCTTATTTGCATTGTGATGCCATGTCATCAGAGCTCATGCTCAAGAACTCCACAATTGAGTTACAAAAGAATTTGCAAAAACTCATAGTACTTTAAGTAATCTTATGATTTGTGTTGGGCCACATTCCTAGTTATTTGAGGTTGCATGTGACATGTGGGCTGTGGCTTGAACAGGTCAAAGCAGACACAGAGTATCCCTACTCTCCTTGACTGTGATTGCTTTAGGCAGAAGTATATAACCCAATCCTTGCTGACAAGATTTGAGGTCTGTCAGAGGCACCTGGGAAGGGAAGTGGACTCTCCCATCACTGAGATGTCCTGGATGAGACGCAGGCACTAGGATGTTCTCTTGTAGCCAGATAGAAGCAGTGTGAGCACATGTCCCTGGGAAGACCCTGAAGAGAATGGAGGACAACCTGTCTTCCTGGTGCCCCAGCAGAGCCAAAGAAGGGCCCAGCTCTGCTCATGCTCCACATTGAGCCTTTTTGTTAGGGCAAAAATGCATTGACTTTACATTGTGTGTGTGCATTGACTTTATATTGTGTGTGTGCACGCACTGATTTTACATTGTGTGTGTGTGTGCACTGATTTTACAATGTGTGTGTGTATTGACTTTACATTGTGTGTGTGTATTGACTTTACATTTTGTGTGTGCACTGACTTTACACTGTGTGTGTGTGTGCACTGACTTTGCATTGTGTGTGCACTGACTTTACATTGTGTGTGTGTATTGACTTTACATTGTGTGTGTGTGCACTGACTTTACATTCTGTGTGTGTGTGTGTGTGTGTGTGTGTGTGTGCGTGTGTGTGTATATGCACCTATGTGTGTGGTGGTAGGGAGGGTGGATGAGTGCATGTGTGTGAAGGTCAGAGGTCAACTTCTAGTATCTTCTCCAGTTACTATCTACCTTGCTTATTTTATTTATTTTTATTTTATGTGTATGAGTGTTATGCCTGCATGTATGTAAGTGTACCCATGTCATGCAGTGCCCGTGGAGGACAAAAGAGGTGTCAGATCCCCTGGAACTGGAGTTATGGATGGCTGTTAGCCTCCACGTGGGTGCTGGGATTTGAACTCAAGTCTTCTGCAAGAGCAGTCAGTGCTCCTAACCGCTGATCCATTTCTTCAGCCCCTCCACCTTGATTTTTGAGATAGGCCTTCTCACTGGCCTTGTCTAGAACTTACCAGTTAGGCTAGGTTGACTGGCCAGTGAGCCCCAGGGATCCACTTGTTTCTGCCCTACCCAGTGCTGGGATTACAAGCATGTACCACCACACCTGGCTGGTTTTTTTTTTTTTTTTTAATGTGGGTTCTAGGGTTCAAACTCAAGTCCTCATGTTCATGTGACAAGTCCTTTGCCAGCTGAGCCATGTCCCTTATCCCTACTTTTAAAGTCACTTTAGCTGGACCTCTGTTACCAGCAGCCCACAGTTCTTTAACAGAGAAAAGTACATAGAAATGCACATATATAATGAGTGTTCTGAATGACTGATTAAATGTATGTGGAGGCATAAATTACCTCCCTGCTCCATTCATGATTGTCATATTTATTTTTACTCCCGGCAAAAGAGCCTATATAATTGGAAAATTTCAGAGTTGAAAATAAAGCTCTGAATTTACAATTAAAAACCATCAGTTCATTGTATAGTGATAAGATGCTAAAATAAAAGCTTACAAATTGGCTAACTGCTTAAGACATAATAAGACATCACATAAACCAATTTTTCTTTAAATTCCTTCATTAAAAAGGAATATCTGATGTTGAGTCCAGTCTTTCATTTTTATCAGTGGAATAAATAGAGAATAGTCATTGCAATCAATTGCCCGTTTGTTCCACGGCCAGTTCCCCCACAAGCATACATTATGTATGGAGATGAGAGGGGGAAGTGGGTCCTTTTCACACTGTCTTTTCTTCTAAAGTACAGTTTCTCCATTGGGCCTACTTTTAAATAAAATGAAAGCAAAAAATGTTAAGCTATTGCTGTAGCAAACAGCTTTCTCTAAAAATGAACTACCAATTGTCTTGCAAATATTTTCTGATTCTCATTTGTAGTGTTCTATTGGCCACTTTGATAATGTCAAAGCTTCTGAATATTTATAACAATTTCTTAGTTTTTGGAGAAAATAGAGAGACAATAACAACCTCATTGAATTGTTATCTAGCAATTCATTTTTATCTTATTAGTTATTGAACCCAGGGCCTCCCACACGGTGTACCACTGAGCTACATCCCCAATTGCTTCAACTTTTATTGTTGAAGCATAAATGATAAGAAATTGCATTTACAAAGAGTCTAAGCATAGGACTGGTGAGATGGCTCAATGGGTAAAAGTACTTGTTGCCAAGCCTGACAACCTGAGTTTAGTCCCTGGGGCCTACCTGGTGGAAGGAGAGTACTGACTCTCTCAGACTGTCCTCTGATTTACACACACACACACACACACACACACACACACACAGAGTGTAAATAAATACAAAAACTCCAAGTATATATTCTTTATAAATTTACTGCTCTAAGTATAGCTGTATATATGCCTTCTGTGATTAGGTATATGTGACAATTGAAATCTAATGTGTTCTAGGAAGAGAAATTAGGTAGGAAAGTGTTGAAAATGACTACCCACATCTACAACAATCTCAGATCTTCTTTCTATCCACATGTGGACAGTCACAACTGTCCCTTTTCAGACACAGATAGACTTTTATCCTAGCATTAGTAAAATTATGAAATTTTTATTGACACAGCACTTTGAAATTAAAACATCATTCCAAGAACCTTACAAGTATCAATGTGTATAATCCTAATTACAGTCTTCTGAAGGGGTCACAATGATGCTCACAGTTCATGTCTAAGGAAAGTGAGAGAGGAGGCCCATCTAGCTAATCAGAAGCAAAACTGGCATCTAAATCCAGCCAGCCTTCTCCGAGTCCATGCTTTTTCCTTTGGTTCTGAGTATCGAACCCTGGACCTTGTGCATGCTAGGCAAGCCCTGTTCCACTGAGCCGCCTCTACGTCATGAATCTATGCTCTTGAGCACTGCTGCTTCTGCGACACACTCAGCAGTTCTTGGGCCTCTTTGGGGAGTTCTCAGGTTCAGTCTCTGCTCTGATAGCCACACCCAGAAGGACCAAGCTGTTTGAGGATGATGATAGTATTTAAAAAGATCTTGTTCCCTTTCATCTGAAAATCAGTTTGCCTGCAAACTGTTATTATCCTCATTATATAGATAAGGGAACAGGGAGACAAGAGGTAAGACAAAGTTGGAAACAGATCTAATCACATGGGAAGTTTCCATTTGGGAGTCAGTAGATGGATTTGAGGAGGGAGTGAAGGATACCGAATGGGGAGGCAGGCAGGAAAGCCCCAAAATAAAACCCTTTGCCTATAATCATCAGATTTATAAGGTAATGGAAGCAAAGGGATTCTGTGTATCTATTCCACTTTTCCTAATGTGGGGGGATAATGCATTATAATGTGGACAGTTACGAACACGATGGTAATAACTTGATAAACCAGTTGCAGAACCTTCAGGAGGCTGGAAATCTTGTAA